GACTCTTCCTCCTCCTCTTCCTCAGTGAGAGTTAATAAACTAATTCTCAGTGTGTTTCTAAGTTGACTGACTCTTCCTCCTCCTCCCTCTCCTCCTCCTCCTCCTCAGCTGGAGGACTGACTCTTCCTCCTCCTCTTCCTCAGTGAGAGTTAATAAACTAATTCTCAGTGTGTTTCTAAGTTGACAGACTCTTCCTCCTCCTCCCTCTCCTCCCTCTCCTCCTCAGCTGGAGGACTGACTCTCCCTCCTCCCTCCCTCCTCCTGCAGACTCACCCTCGCTCAGTGGGACGCTGGGGTCGGTGTGTCCCCCCGCGGACAGCGTGATGTCCGTGTCTCCTGCGGACAGACTGATGATGGTCGCCTCTCCCAGCAGGTTGCAGATGCGCTGCTGCATGGCGCTAAGGATGACGGGAACTGGAGTGCAGTCGGCGGACGTGCCCTCGATGGCCGCCCTCGCCTGCGCCACCTTCCTGCGGACCTCGGTCTTCATGTCGGACCACTTCTTCTTGACCTCGGCCAGTTCTCGGGGGCAGGTGGTGACGCTGTTCACCTTCTTCAGGATCTCCAGCCACGCGTTGTTCTTCGCCATGTGCGTGACTCCAGCGTTAAAGTGGTTCACCAGCGTGTGTTTGTGGCGCTCGATCTCCTCCACGATGATCTCCACCTCCCGCTCCGAGAAGTTCATCTTCCGCTTCTTCGCGGCTGACGCCATCGCCGCCTCCTCGGTGCGTATTGTGCGTAGAAGTGGAGGATTTACTCAAGTGCAGTGCGCAGCGTAATGGCTTCCAGAATCCGCTTCTTCCCCACCACGGCAACGCTTACGTAGCTGGGCCGGGAGTCCCGCCCACTGGCGCTCCATTGGCCGGGAGCCTGTCGGTCGGGCTGAGTGCTCTGCTGCTATTGGCTGAAGCAAACGTCAGTCACTCAGCGAGCCAAACAAACTATGTGTCTCAAAAGCAAAGGGACGTTTTCTGCGTAACCTCCGTTCAAATTCACACGTAGATCGAGAATACGACTTTACGTTCTGTGGATTTATCTTAATATTTTAACAACACACACACACACACACACACACAGTGGACAACTGAATACACAATATACATGTACACACATCTGTTTAAAGAAACAGGACAAATACAAACAAATACACAAAACACAACAAACACAAAACACAACAAACAAAACATAACAAACACAAAACATAACAAACAAAACACAACAAAGAGGAAAATTTATTCATCTTTATTTGGAAAAAATAAAAAACATTCAGGAGAATATTTGAATGTTCGGGGGAGGGTGCTGTGGCGTCAGAGTCCAGTCGATACCATAGACTGTATATAGAGACCCTCGACCAATCAGGAGTCAGTGTCAGCTGTCAATCATGACGTCTCCGCCTGTTTTGACATCAAATAACTGATTCAAACCAAACTGATGAGAAACAAACAGAAGAACGACGACATCTTTACAAACATTTATTCAACCATCTGTTAACATGGAGGAGGAGGAGTGTGTGGTCTGTACTGCAGCCAGCCACCAGGGGGCGCCTGAGACGCTTTGCTTCACTTTGGGAGCTGTCATGTGTCCGTCTTTGTTTACAATCTAAATACACGTAATGAACATGTGTCAACATTCATGTGTTTGTGTGTCTGTAAAACTAGTGTGTGGGATGGAGGGTGGGACACACACACACACACACACACACACACACACACACA